CCCACACACACACCAACACAAACAACACACACACACACACACAGACACACACACTGACCTTTGCCCCCCTGACAGCCACCTCAGCGGTGGGCCAGGCGTTGTTCATGTCTCCCTTCAGATGCTCCGAGCATATCACGTCATACGCACCTCCCAAACAACACACTCACAGTACACCCACACACACACACAACAACACAAACACACACACACTGACCTTTGCACCCATGACAGCCACCTCAGCGGTCGGCCATGCGTAGTTCATGTCTCCCTTCAGATGCTTCGAGCTCATCACGTCATACGCACCTCCGTAGGCCTGGATGGGTCGGAAAATACGTTGTACGACTTACAAACACATCTCATTTGTTTGTTTGAGTACAGAGAAGTACATAATTTATTTGTTTGTTTGTTTGTTTGAGTAAAGAAAGGCACATCATTTGTTTGTTTTTCTGCTCGAGTAAAGAGAATCACAGCATCTGTTTTGTTTGAGTTAAGAGAATTTTGAAGCACATCATTTGTTTGAGTAAAAAAAAAGCACACAATTTGTTTGTTTGTTTGTTTGTTTGTTTGAGTAAAGAGAGGAACCACACCAGATCCCTCCCCTCCCCACCCCACCCACCCGCGTGACACAGAAGCACCAAAGCACTACAGCCAAGACACCCAACAATTCTGGCTAGTAAAACAAAATTTTTCTATTTTTAATAAGAACAATAATAATGTAGATAATTTCTATAGCGCCCACCCCTGTGTGAACACAGCTCTAGGCGCTTTACATAAATGCATGTACGAATAATATTCACACACGCATACACACACGCATACACACATTACACAGACACACACATGCACGCCAAACACACTCACACACGCACACACACACACACTCACTCACACACGCACACTTTACACACACACACACACACATCTGCTTGCTTGTCACACACGCACGCTTACACATGGTTACGAAATGAACAAATTTGTAAAGGTGTTCCCCCCTCCCCATACCTTTCTGGTGATGACGGTGATCTTGGGCACGGTGGCCTCAGCGAAGGCGTACAGCAGCTTGGCCCCGTGGCGGATGATTCCTCCGTACTCCTGGGATGTGCCTGGGGACAAGTAGGGAAAACGGTAATAATGGGGTTTGTTATCCGTTGTTGTTGGGTGCTTTTATTAGTGGGTTTTTAAAAAAAAGTTTTAGTAAAAGTTTTACTGCACTTGCAACACAATAAGGTCACATAAGTGCTGAAGATTGTAGTTTTAGTAAGAGTTTTACGGCACTTGCAACACAATAAGGTCACATAAGTGCCGAAGATTAGAGGTGCTACAAGAGAGTAACAAACACAAAAAAAGAAGGAGGAGAGACCAGGATGATGGATGTTTGATAGGAAAGAAGGGGCAAACCACACCAGAGCACCCGCCAGCCAAGCACTTTTATTAGTGTTTTACGGCTCTCACAACAGAACTGGAATGGTCAAATGAGCAAGCCTTGTGCACGAGACCTCCAAAATTGTTTCGTCCTTATCCGAGAAAGCTAGGTGTTATAGCCCTACATACCCTAAGATCAGAAGGAGCCAGGAGTTAGAGTAGAAAGAATCCAAGAAAGCTAGGTGTTATAGCTTACATACCCTAAGATCCGAAGGAGCCAGGAGTAAGAGTAGGAAGAGTCAAGAATCCAGAGGAGGGGGGTAAAGGGGAGGGGGCAGACAGTGGAGATGAAAGCAGATGAAAGAGCATGGCTAGAGAGCAAGAAAGGAGGTGAAATAAGCACATTTTAGAGAAGAAAATTTTCATCACTGTCAGGTTTCAAACCCAGGATCTATTGAAAGGGAGGCAAACATCGAATCTCCAGGCCATGAAATCATTATTATTATCTCCTATTTGTAATATTATTATAATCTATTATTATAATTATTATTATTAAATAATACTTGTCACTACCCGGATAATCTCTGCCACCCAAACCACCTGGCAGCAGTAGGGCAATGACGCCGCAATGTCGCCCAAGTTGGCAAGCACAGTTTTAGACAGTAGACAATTACCTGGCAGAAATCCTGGCACATCAACGAAGGTGATGAGTGGGATGTTGAACGCGTCGCAGAAACGCACGAAGCGGGCCGCCTTCACAGACGCGTTGATGTCCAAACAACCTGAGATAGAGAGAGGAAAATAAATATGTCGATGACGTCCAACACGAGATAGACAGACAAGAAGAGAATAAATATATCTTTGACAAATGTATCTTTGATGTCAAACAAGAGATAGACAGACAAGAAGGGAATAAATATATCTTTGACAAATGTATCTTTGATGTCAAACAAGAGATAGACAGACAAGAAGGGAATAAATATCTTCGATGTCAAACATGAGATTGACAGACAAATGGAGAATAAATATATCTTCGATGTCAAACATGAGATAGACAGACAAGAGGAGAGTACAAGTGATACAATTGTTGTGAAATAGCGGAACCAGGCGTTCATCAATTTTTAGCTCATATGGAATTACTGACATAATAACCTTCAAGTCTGTCTGTTCATCTGCCTTTTTTTTTTTCCTATTATCTACCAGAATTTCTCAACATTTTGTGCTGTGTTATTTTAACATCTTACAATATCATCAGTGTACTTTTACAGTTGTGAGCAACATAATTCGAGACTAAAAAAGTTTTACCTAATTTGTCAAACTCTAGACTATCGAATCCGAGGCAGTATTGGTCCTGGAAAATTCGGGACAGTTGTCAAGGCTGGCGTTCGAATAAAATGATAGTGAATCATCAGAGAGGTCAAGGTCGTAAAACTGACGAAGAAAACACCAGACGACAAACGGGGAGCTTGTCACAGACGTACCTGCGGCCACTTTGGGCTGGTTTCCGACAACACCGACGGTGCGGCCGTTCATCCTGGCAAACCCGGTGATGATGTTCCTGGCGTACGCTGGCATAATCTCGAAAAACTCTTGATCGTCAATGATCTGGATATGCACAATGAAGAGAGGGAAAGACAAAGTGTTGTTTACTAAACCGTGGTTAACAAATGGTGTGTTTGTGTGTGTGTGTGTGTGTGTGTGTATTTGTGTGTGTG